TCAACCGATACCAATGAATTGATTAGTGTCCTACTTTTAACATTGATTTTGAGTTTTGAAGCCTCTACATGAGAGGTGGAAGAACCGAAGAAGCGGACCTGCAAATTCGAATAGTCTTGAAGGTAAGTTGCTAGAAACTCATGAACCATTAGCATCTTAGCCAAGCATGTGTTTCTCTCAAATATCATTTTAAGATAATGTTATAGAATTATTTTGATGATAATATAATGATAATATTGTTAAATGATATATATTACGTGTATATTTTGATACTCAAGTACATGATTCAAATACTCAATTGTGCTACAAATATAGTGTTTTAATACCAATACTCATTTCTTTTAAACGTTATGCTCATTTCTTTTAATATAAAATACCTGATTGTACGGTGAGCATCATGCAACCAGCTGTAGAGTATACGATGTCTCAATGTTTTGCCTCAAACTTTAAAGATGAATAAATACTTCCTTAATTTACAAACTACAAACTCATCTAGGCCACCCAATGAGTTGATCTAAATGTTATAAAAGTAAAGTGTCATTTTTAATATAAAAGCCAACTTTTTTATGATATAACTCTTTGAACGTTAATATGCAACTGCAATTTTATGGCTGAATAATATGCAACACTTTGAACCTCAATATGCAATACAAATAAAGTAAAGATGCATCGTACAAATGTTTGTATAATAAGCACATTTTGTATCTGATCCGCCCCTTAGTATTTAGAATTGGTCATAAATAAAAACAGTTGATAAAAAAATATATCATTTAGAATGTATGACAACTTCCTTTCTTGCCCCTGCCCAGACCGCCATCCCCGCTCCTGCCACTCCAGACATGTCACTACACAACCCCTTCACTATCCCTCCCTAGCAATCCCGGTTAGCCCATCACTACTCACACTTGGAATCCACCACAACCCCAACTCTCAATCGTCACTCTCAACCCTATCCCCAACCTTCAGCCCACCACCACCATCATAACCCTAACCCTATTTTTTGCGAGCGCCGTCACCGTTTTCTAGCAATCGCCACCTTTCACCTCAGATCGAAAAATACAAATGAATAAGAATATAAGCAGGCGGATGTAGTGGAGTAGGGCAAGGGCGACAACGATGGCGAATACTAGGCAGAGCCGTCTAATTAATTTGGAGGCCCCGTTCCAAACGTAAAAATCGAGGCCCCATATTAGTATAAAAAATCAATGTAAATACTTATACTGAAATCATTTGAATACTCATCAAATAATGCAATAAAAATTTTAAAAATCACTTAATATTTGATTTAAAGCAGCACAACTCATCACTCAATCAATTAAGTAAAACATGAGTAAAAGTACGGACAAAAAACATTATTTTATCAATTAGTATTTTTATATATTGTTACTATGTAATAATAATAATTTTTTAAAAAATGGGGCCCCCAGAATTCGAGAGGCCGTGTTCTGTAGAACATGTTGAACATGTTAAACGCCGGCTCTGATACTAGGGTAAGGGCGGCGGTGGCAATCTGTGCATGCTCTGTTACCAACGCGAGGGCGGGGGCCACGATGACGACGGGAACGCCGATGGTGACAACGACTGTCAGGGCAATGACGAAATGCGTCTGCTTCGTCGTTACAAATGTTTAGGAGAAACGGAAGTCAGTAAATGTGAGTTGGGATGATAGATTTATAGAGGCAAGAAGGTTTGTTTGTACTAATTCAGTCACTCTTTTGTCCAAACAAAATTATAACCATATTTTTGTTTACAATAACTCTAGGAGGTAGGAATATCTACGCCATTAAACTAATGTCATAGATTAAACTTTTTAAACCTCTTGTCTGAAAAATCATTTTTATCGTTGATGTATTTCACGAAATTAAACCATTGTCACAAGTCAATTCTTTGCATCGAGCCATCTTATATGTGTATCCAATTATCCACACACTTTCGATTCTAACACTATATTGTACTCCTATTTTATACGTACACTATATTCATTTTAAATTGTTTCTAGCATATACGGTTCTTATGAACGCCTCTTTTAGTCTTTTATTTATACAAAGATAAAAACTTTTCAACTTTAATTTGTCCGACTAGTGTAGTATCTCCATCATATACTCTTCGATTACCTCTCCAAACTACTTCTTCAGTAGACAATTTAAAGATTTTGATTGAAAGATACACTTAAAAAGATTTTTACCGCTCCGTACGTAATAACTAAGATTTTTACTCCCTATTATAATTAAAATAACACCAAAGGCCGCCCAAACCTTAATCGTAGAAGGGCTAAATAGCTCTACAAGACTACAAGGGCCAACTAAATCCTAGAAAGATTAACACGTAAATAAAAAAACATCTAAAATATACATGCCTTTTGATAAATAAATTCGAAAGATGTAGAAAAGAATGACAAGCGTACTACTTAGGGCTATTGAATTGACAAAAATAAGGCATAATCTCGGATGGACAAAAAAGATACCTATTTAGAGATGAAATGACAGAGTTACCCTTCATATAAAAGGGAAAAATTGGCCTATTTTCTTCCTTGCGTATCTGCTCTATCGTCGTTTCCATTCGCCTGGATATATCGAGGTTCTCAGGCCTCAGCCACCGCCTCCGTCCGCATCACGAATGTCCCCACCATCTCCATCTTGAGCCGTCGCCGCCTCCGCTAGAGCAAGTCGCCAACGCCGAATCATCTCAGGTCAGAAATTTCGTCCCACACAGTCACGACAGTTTCACACCTCCGCCCTATCCGCCACCGTAGCTACACCACTTTGTCGTGCGCCACCATAGTAGCTCTGCCTTTCACCTTCTTTTTCATCTCATTCTGTCTTTCTGTCTCGCGTCGAGGATGGAGAACCTGAGGATCAGAGATATCAATCAGTGAATTTCTTCCTCCTTTTGGGATCCAGATCCGTCGTGTGGCTCTACGGTTGGGGCTGATTCGAATCCAGAATATCGTGTGGCGGCTAGGGTTAGGGATGGTCCAGATCCATAGGGTGGTGTGGGGGCTAGGGTTGGGGTTGGTCAGGGATTGTGACAGCTAGGGTAGGTCATGGGTGGGGTGTGGTGGGTGGGTGGTGGAGTCTGGTGGGGCTGGGGTTACTGGTCAGTGGAAGGGGCAGGACAGGCGGTGCCACGGTGGTGGTCACTGGCGGTGACGGAGCGAGATAGGCGGTCTCGGGTCATTGACTAGCTGTCGTGGCAATTGGTCACTTGCTGCCATCAGTGGCGGTTGGCGGGTCGCCCGATAGGTCCCGACGACAGTCACTATCAGATCGGGTAATTGTAAATAGTCAAATCGGGGAATTGTGATGGATTTTAACTGATTAGACCGAGTAACTGTAACTGATCGAGTAAATGTAACTATTTGGATCGTGTAGCTGTAACTGGCGGGTCAGGCAAGTTTAACTGATTGGGATATGTAATCATAACTGGTCGGGGTAGGTAATTGTAATTGTAATTTTGGTCACTGTCGGATTTTGGTCATTGATGGATTTTGGTCACTGGCGGATTTTGGTCACTGGCGGATTTTGGTCATCGATGGATTTTGGACACTGGCAGATTTTGGTCACTGGCGGATTTTGGTCACTATGGTGTTATTAGTCACTGTGATGTTACTGTAGCAGTAATAGGGGTATAATAGTCTCTTAATCACTTCTTAGTCTTATTTTTGTAAATTGGAGGAGAATGCCACTTTTTTGTCCATAGCTCTTTTTTTAGTACTACGTACATAGTATTATTTTAGACAAAACCCCAAAGATGTATAGTTACTTAATTAGTTTTAAAACATAGTGGATAGACTTTCCAAGGACAAAAATAGACCCTGGGTATTTTCCCAACAATTACTATCAATATCCACCGTTTGATATTTGATCTCAATAATTTAATCCAACGATTTATCTGAGTAATATTCACTTAGCATTAACATGACCTCTTAAATATTTAATGAAATATGTAAAATGAAAAATTCTTGTTGCAGTCATACATACATAATTTGCAAAATTTCTCGTTTACATGTTCTTATATGCACTCATACATACATAATTTGTAAAAAACTCAAAATTTTATAAAAGGAGTACGAAGTATCTGTGCGGCAACTAAAATTGGCGAGTATATGTCCCTTCGGGGACATCCGATAAAATTGGAACGATACAGAGAAAATTGGCGAGTATATGCTCAAATGTGAACACGAAGCATGACTGATGTAAAATATGGCACGTAGTAGAGTACTCAATGCCGTCTTTTAGGAGGTGCAATAGGTGCTTCGCACCGGGGCCCACGTTTATAGAGGGCCTCCAAATATTTAGTATGTGTCATACATGTATTAGTTATAGGTTGCTTTTTCTATCTATTGTGTATTAGTTCATATTCTAAAACGTGTGTTATGTCACAACAAAGACTCAATGGTTTGACAATGATATCAAATTGTGAATGAAGCTCTCTACAAGATAGAGTATAAAGATTTAAGTGATGGTTTTGCTTCGAAAACTGCTAGGAGGACAATCATATTCATGTGGATTTTCATCTGCGATGTAATATTACTTTAAGATTGTTTAAATTGTGTATTTTAAATATTATAAAACTTATAATTTATTTAACTATATAGTCTTTTTGTATTTCATTGTCAAATTTGTTATTCTTTATCGTTTTAGAGGGCCTCAATTCGCCATTTTGAACCGGGGCCTCCAAATTCATTAGACGGTCCTGAGAGTACTCCTTCCATATCACTTTTATTGTCACACTTTCCTTTTTGAGTGTATCAAAATAATTGTCTCAATTCTATTTTTGCAAATAAATCCACTCATAAAACAACTACAGTGTCGCAACAGTGCTGTTACAATATCAAATACGGAGTAACTCTTACTTTTTCAAAAAGTGTACATTAAACTTATAAATTTTTTTAAACTACTGCAAAACCTTACTGTGACAATAAAACTGATATGGAGAGAGTAGTAAACACCATTTTTTAAAAAGTGCTTTGTATTTATTTTATTTTATTTTGAAACAAACATTTTTTATTAGAAACTCACCCTAAGAAATTAGGACATAGTAAGGGCTTAAATCGTTTCAACGGCATATTGATTTTTCTTTGTCGCCGTCAAAGTTTCAAGACGCGAGTTTTGATCAGCCAAAATGTCAAGTGGACTTTGACTCTTAGCTTTTTTTAGAGCTTCGTCTTCGTTGGCTCTTCAGTCGGCACAATACGTTCAGAAGCCATCTAGGGGTTCTCCGTATCTGTTTCAGAGCAATCGATCGTGAAAATGGCGTCCCAAGATCACTTGGACAAAATGAAGCTGCGCCAGAATTATCGCAATATGTGGCATACTGATCTTATAGGCACCATTAAGTCTAACACTCCTTGTACGTATGCTTTCTCTGTGTGTTCCCGCGTTAGCGCGTGTGCTGCTTACATGTCGTTTGTTTTAGTCAATTTTATGCTGTGCGCGTGTTTAACTGTTTGAATTTTGGGCCTTTTGTTTTTGCAGATTGCTGTTTTTCTTTGTGGTGGTGAGTTAATTGATCTTGTTTATTCTGAACTTATGTAGTTGATCTGTAATTTTGATTACCGGTTATTTAGGAATTTGAGCTCAGATATAGGGAATTTCAATAACTGGACAGTGTTGCTATTTCTTACTCGGATCTATCCAGCCTTGTTGAATAAATCAAGTGATTTTTATCCATGATTTTGACTTAAATGGTTGTTCGAAATGCTGATGCAGTAGAAGCTTCTAAGAATTACGTGAGAGAATGCTGCATAAGTATCCAGGCTAGTGTTAAGAAAGTTTAGAATTTGGATGCTAGACTATGTTTATGTTTGATAATGTTTCTTGTTAACAAACTGAAGCTTGAGAAAACATAGATCTTTTAGATGAATGGATATAGCATGGAATTTTAGGGAAAAACAATGCTTTGATATAGATCTGGCATTTCATTCATCATATACTAGGTGTTGCCGTGTTGGTGGTATGGACAACAACCTGAATGGCAGCAATGTGTGGTGCATGTTAGTTTAATGTATGTACCACAGTGACTAACTGTTAATATGCTAAAAGTAGAAAAACATTTTTCATTAATATATGTGTCTTATGTCAAAATTTGCAAGTGCTATTTTATTTATGCGTAGAGACTAGAGTGACCAGAGGTTCTGTTTCTATTTAGTATTCTATTTCACTGTTCCATGAATGCTGTTTTAGTGTTTCTCTCTTTCTTATACTTATTTTCATGAATTTTAGAAAAAAAGTAAATATTTGGTATGCTTTAAATTGCAGTGGACCCTGTGCATCATATTTGCTTCGAAAACGAGCTCTTTACAATGATATGTCAAGGTAATTGATTTGTTTTGCTTTTTAATTGAAACTTATAAAAGGCATACCTTGTAATATTGGTGTTTTGCTGCCTCAGGTATACATGCTGTGCTGGCTATATGCCGTGCAGTGGTCGATGTGGAGAAAGTCGATGCCCTGAATTCTGCCTTGCTACTGAGGCAAGATAAACTAAACTGGCTAATTTATTTTGTAGCTGGTACTTTTTTTATAATTTTTAGGAAGTGTTTTTATGTTTCCTTCTACGGCTGTGAAATACGGAGTATTTATTATTGAAATTACAAAGGAAGGGCTTACTTAAGAAAAATCTTTAATTTTGAAGTAAAAGTAATTTTAAGAAAGTAGAAGTTGTAGTGATTGGTAAAAATATACCTTTTGGTGTATTATTCAAGTAAGCTATTATTGAAAAAGTAAAAAGAAATTTTAAGTACCCTTCACCTCCTTCAATTTTTTAGCTTTAATATACTAAAAGAGTTAAAGTTAACCAACCAGAACTGCATATTGCGGAAGAACCTATCTGAAAACAGTACTATGCTTTTTTAAGCAAAAGTACAATTTGCTGTTTTTTAAGCAATGGAAAACATTCCTTCAATGGCATACACATGGAATTTATATGCTGTTAATCTGCTTATTACTTACATCTACATAAGCTTTGGAATAGAATAAGAATAAGATCTTGAAAATGCAGTTGATAATTTATATCAAAATGGTTCATAGGTGTGTTGTTCATCCTGTTCCTTCTATAGGCTGTTTTATTTCTTCTTTTGTGCTCATATTCAACATGTGATGTTTAAGTAAACTGCAAATGTTAGAAATAAGCTCTCTGTACAGGTCGCCAACAATTTATTGTTTCTTTTACCCACCCAAAGTTTGACTTTGGCTTTCAATTTGTGAAGCCATTAAGCGAATAAACTCCTACTAGATTGTGACATCTGTTTCTGTTTGTAGTCATCATTGCATTTAGAACTTGTTAAAAGTAAATCAATAATAACTACTCCATATTTCATATCATTGATGTAATAGCAAATTGGATTTAATATCTTAGCAATATTGTACTTTGTAAATAGATTGATGTTTCCAGTTTCAGGGAATACATTGGTTTTTTCGTGTTACTCAGGGAACTTTTGGGAATAAAGCTTGGATGTTGTTATACTCATAGAATTTATTTTTCTATGTGTTCAGGTTTTTCTTTGCTTTGGGAATTCAGTGGCTTCAACTCGATTTTTGTTGCAAGATGAGTTCAACATACAAACAACAAAATGTGATAACTGCATTATTGTAATTTCTCTATTCCTTCTCCACATTTGAAGTCTAATAATCAACACCCATGCCTTCCAATTTTTTGTATCATCAATTTACCATTCTATATTTCTTGTTGCGCTGTTAAAGTAATGTTTCTCCTTGTAGGGTTTTATGTTCTGTCTCCAACAACTTGCTTGCATTTTCTCCATAGTTGCCATGATTGTTGGAAGTGATGAGATACAGGAGGCTTCCCAGTTACTGTCTTGCTTGTCTGATATGGTCTACTGCTCGTAAGTTCCTGTTTTCTCTCTGTTTCTTCTCATTTACCTGTCGTGTTCCATTTAAAGATATAGACCATATTCACTAACTTTACTGCACTTGTTTTGTTGCAGGGTTTGTGCCTGTATGCAGGTAAACTAGGATTTACCCATCAGTCTGCTTCAATGCATATGATTAGATTAAATATCTGCTGCATATGATTAGATTAAATATCTGCTGCCTTGTTTTCTATTATAGTTTCCTTGCTTCTAATAGAATACATTATCCAGGATCTTGTGACTTTTGGATAATAGTCTACATCTGTAGTTTCAGGGAAGTTCAATCACTACAAAAGTCAATCCATTTCCTCGTAACTATACTAAATATTTCATACAGATTTTCTCAAAATCCACAGAAATTGTTTTCTTAAAAAATATTTTTTCCAATTTTCCTAGCTCTGCTAAGTTAGATCCATACGAGTAAAAGTTCATGGGAAAAGTTTCTGTGGATCTTGGCCTCTTGTTGTAACATGCATAAATGAGGGGATAGGAAATAGTGAATAAAATAGACAGTAAAATGGGAAATTAAATATAAGAAAATAAGGAGTACAAATTGAACTTTATATGTTTGTCCAAACTCACCTTATTATTTCAATTTTATACCGACTATGAAGTGTAAGTATGTGTAATTTTTTAAATCATGTTTAATTTTCATTCACATTTTAAGGTAATATCAAACATGAGGATACAAATGTAGTAATGATTCTTCTTTTGCCTAACATTTTTCCGGGCATCATACAGTCTTGAGGAATTTCTTAAACCAAATAATATTTTATTTCATTATGTGGATATAAGCTGCTATTGTTGATGAATGAATGAATGAATGAATTGTGGCAGACTCAACACAAGATTGAGATGGACAAGAGAGACGGGAAGTTTGGTCCTGGACCGATGACAGTTCCTCCACAGCAGCAAATGTCACGACTTGATCAGCCATTCCCACCCAACGTTGCATATGGCCAACCGGCCCAACCCTATCCACCACCTGGGTATCAATAATGAGATCTTCCGAGTGAATCGTTTGTGGTTAAAACATTTACAGAATTGAGTTGGGTTTATACCTTTAATCCTTTGAAAATGAGGATGGACTGAAACATGTGTTCTGAGTTGTTCTCTGTAGATTCCTATCTGCCTGCATACATCATAGATAATTTGTGACTTGTTCAAATGCTTGGCGTTGTCAATTGTCATTGTTAGTGAATACGTTCGAGATATTGATAACTGGTGATGTTTGGCGTTGTCTATTATGGTTTTATCTATTTTAGAGACCTGTTTGGATACTTGGATATCATAAGAGTCGAACGTGTCCTGTGTCTTGTGTCCTGTGTCCTTTGTTTAAGTTAAAAATCACTACTTTGATCCGTTGATGATTTTTTTGATCATCAAAACATGCCTCTATTCATATCAAAAGATTCATCAGGATCATTACATCAAGCAAAAGGAAAATAAAACAGACACCAATTGAAACTCCAACAATTACGACTGTAACCCTATGGTGAGACTTTGAGACGGTCACCCCTGAGAGAGCAACACGAATCGCTAACCATGTAGTGGGCTTGACACAGCCAAAACTATTCCCATAGATCCAACCATACCCAATGACATAAAGCGAGGCAAAAAACTCAAACAAACTGTCAAACTCAACAACAAAAATGGACTCAAGAAAACAAATAACAAACAGATAAAAACTACAAGAAAAACGTTCACGAACTCTAGCACCTCGTGCATCCCATGGTGGTGGTTCATGAGGAGGTCGTACCACTGGTACCAGGCTAATTGATCCTCCATGACCTTTGGCTGCCAAAGACCATGCATCAATCCTCCGTCCCTGCATAACCAAACTCATCCCTGCTCCGTGCGACCAGAGTAAGCGGACAGGCGGCGCCGATCTTCTCCAACGACGACAGCAACGCCGCATCCTCGAACCTTGACCACAGCGCCAATCTCCTCGAGCCATGACAACAAATCTGCCCTCCTCCACCGATCTCCGCCCTCCGCGTCTGACCTGGACTCCAGTCGAGCACCAGCGACTAAGAGATAACAAAGCCGATCTTCGATAAAGTCGAAATCGAAAAAAAGGCTCCAGCGGCCGACATAGTCAAAGCCCTAGAGAGAAAAACTCGTGATCGCTCTACCTTAGCCAAAAGCAGACCACTGCTCCGCGGCCAGATATGCGAACAAGAACAGCCGAACTTCGATCAATATGATCGAATTCGGAAAAAAAAACCTAGAGGCGGCTGCCCTAGGAGGCTATGTATTCTTAACTTAAAAAGCTACGTACATTCGGAGTATCTCATACTCGGTTTTGATCAGTTGATGATTCAAAAAGGGATTATTGTATTTGAATAAATGAGGAACGTTCAAGAATATAATGTAAGGTAGGCATGGACACGGGCCGGGTGGCCCGACCCGGAACCGGACCGGCACTGTTTGGGCCCGGCCCGAACTGGTGGCCCGGCAAGGGACCGGTCCGGGTAGGCCCGGCCCGGGGGGTTTACGGTGCGCGCTCAGGTCACCCAAAAGACGAACCGGCCCGGCAGGTCTGGGCCCGATTCCGTTTTTTTTTCCTTCAATTTTTTCTTTTATTTTGGGTTGGGGCTGGCCGTCTGGGTGTTTTGGGATGTTTTGGGGGGTGGGGTGGGGGTGGGGGGTTAAGTAGAAAAAGCAAAAAAAAAAAAAACTAACTAACAAGCCCGAGGCCCGGCCCGTACCTGGTGGGGACCTAGGCCGGTCCCGGGCCTTCCCCAAACCTCAAAAGCCCGAACTAAGGTATATGAATAAAAAATGGTGATCGATGTGTCTAGGGGTAGGCACGGTCTGGGACGTTCCAGGATTTGGCTTATCTCGATCCTGTCCCGGTTTTATAACAACGGTTCGGTACGGTACGGGACAAGTATTTATCCCAATGTTGTCCCATTTAAAACGGGACCGGGACAACCCGAGAAAAATCGGGACGGTTCGGGATGTCCCATAAAATATGCATTTGTGAAATGTGATATAAAAATAAGCATAACATCAAAATAAAGACATAACTATTTTTGCAAATTTAGCTTCCCTAAAAAGTTAAGTAAGACCTTTAATTAACTATTTTTAATTTTTGTCTTGTAAATTTTTTTGGTCCCCCTAATCTTGTGTTTCCTTTAGTAGAATAGTAGTGCAAAATATTTTTATACTTTGTAGTACACTTGTAATTTTTCAATACGGCATTAAATTAAATAACATATCTATAAAGACTTTATATATATTTTCTAGTAGTTATTTTGGAAAATATTAAATCTATAACAAAAATAAACTACAATTTGGAGTAGTAGTTATTCCATCATAAATAGTATTCCGCACGTAATAATATATTATGGTTTAGTATTGGAATGGGAACTAAACAAATTTTAATCAAAAGAAAGAAAAGAAATGAGACTAAGAAGCTGTTCTCTTCGCCTGATCTGAATGTTTCTGATCTGAATTTTTTAAGTTCTGATCTGATCTGATCTGAATTTTTCTGATCTGATCTGATCTTATCTGAATCTGTCTGATCTGATCTGATCTGATCTGAATCTTTCTGATCTGATCTGATCTGATCTGAATCTTTCTGATCTGATCTGAATGTTTCTGATCTGGTCTGATCTGATCTGAATGTTTCTGATCTGATCTGAATCCTTCTGATCTGATCTGAATCTTTCTGATCTGATCTGATTCGAATATTTCTAAAATTATAATTATAATTATAATTATAGTTATAATTATAATTATAATTATAATTATAGTTATAATTATAATTATAATTATAATTATAATTATAATTATAATTATAATTATAAGAATTATAATTATAATTATAATTATAATTACATATAATTATAATATAATATTATAATAATATTAATCATATTATTATTATTATAATATTGTAATAATAATAATAATAGTCTTCTTAACAATTGCATTTATATTACTATTATTATATTAAAATATTATAACTATTATTAATTTCTTTTTTATCATATTATTATTAATATTATTAATAATAATTATATAATAATAATCATAATAGTAATAACAATATTAATAATAATAATTAATATTTAATATAATAATAAAAATGATAAATCATGTTTGAACTTTTCTGATCTGATTTGATCTGAATGTTTCTGATCTGATCTGAATGTTTCTGATCTGGTCTGATCTGATCTGAATCTTTCTGATCTGATCTGAATCTTTCTGATCTGATCTGATCTGATCTGAATTTTTCTGATCTGATCTGATCTGATCTGAATTTTTCTGATCTGATCTGATCTGATCTGAATTTTTCTGATCTGATCTGATCTGAATAAAATAAGAATAAGCAATAAGTAATAAGAATAAGACGAACAGAACAGCACCTAAAAGAGACATGAAATAAGATAAAATTACACTAGGGAGACTAAGGACTAAAAGAAAGTTTTAATTGAGCAAATGCATAAACTTGTTTAGGTACTAATTGATCAACTCTTTTTGCTTGAGTTTTTTCGGAAGTGCACATTTTAACCATTTGAGCATTTAAGGACATATCTTTCACACACTCACACTCATCACAATTAAATGTTTAGGACACTGGTTTACCTCCATGACATCCACATTTTCCATCACTTAACCCCGCATCTTTCTCCTATGGCAGAGCCCTTTTGAGCTTGATAATTTGTTTTCTTTATCCTTTATTGGTATATGATCCATTGCTTCGACTAGTCAACCAGGAGCCTAGTAGTTATCCAAGTCATCAACGTAAGAGAGAAGCTGTCTGGTGGGATCTATTGCTGCATCTACTCAACTTCATGTAGTCCTTGGGGTAGTTGCAGGTGGGTGTCTCGATTCAGGGCTATAACACGAGTCTAAGATGGTCATGTTGCCATACTTCCATTAGATGAATGAAAGGTGTTTGTTAATGGAGGAGCTTGGCAGATAAAGTGAACCACCTATTGGTTGGCACCGACCATCCAAGGAGGTTGTATAATTTTGTTTTAAAACCCTATGATATAGTTTTTCAATAAGTATTTGAAATCAATGTCTAGATTTTTTTTTTATTTTTGAATGGAAACTTTTCATACAAAAATGTTACATCCCGAGAACTATGCACATATCGTTTGTGTGAGTCAAAAATACAATAAACCTTTTGTTTGTATGAATATCCAATAATGTACAAGGACTATCCCATTCACTGAATTTATCTTTTCGCTTATTATCACGCATGTATACCAAACAGCTGCAAATGATCATAGATAGGCATTCTTATCAAACAACATTTCACAAAACATGTCTATGTTTACGTTCTAAAACTCCAATATGTTGCATTGTGTGTACATAATGTTTCTAGTATTGTCCCGGTGCATCCATAAAATTAAAATAAATTATTGATTTGAAGTTCTACTTCAATAATGGTCCGTATTCATTTGACATTTTTCTCAAATTGGGTTCCAACATGTTGTAAAACTGAACAAAAAGTTGTGAAACTTCATATTTATTTTTCATTTAATAAACTCATACACCTCTAGTAAAGTCATCAACAGTAGATATGAAGGACCGTGCACCAGAGACTGAATCAAGCCTATATGGCCCCAAATGTCACAATGTATCCAACTGAAAACAACGACTTATCTTTATGGAACTTGTAGAAAATTACTATCTAGTCTTCTCACCACGAATGTAGGGGTTACAAAAAATATTTTCCCATCTAAACCCCTTGAGAAAACTGATGTGATGTATCTTTTGATCAGATACATGTACCAAACGCTGATGTCATAAATAAGGAGTAACGGAGGTGACATTACCACCAACTTCACTTCTAGATGACTCCAAGTAGAAGAGACCATCAAAGAATTTACACACGAAAATTAATTTCTTCGATGATAATCCTTTAAATACAAAAGTACGAGAAAAATATTAGTGTACAATTTAGATCGC